CCAACACGCTTGCCTGCTCCCCAAATGGAACTGCTCCCTGACCCTTGGCCTGGCTTTGAACTTTGTGGGATGGAACAGCGTGCATTCCTTTGGGTTTGGCTTCTTTGTTGGCCCAAGTAGCGTCTGGTCTGATGACCAACTCAGATCTCCTTTCCAGATTCTTCCAGCTGCTGGAAGCGCTGTCAGCAGAGGAGCCACAACCATCAGCTCTGGTCAGGACTTGCTTGGTGTGCCCAAAGTCACCCCTTCTCCACGGGGCACCTCCCAGCCATCGACGGAGCCAGGAGGGAGTGAGGGTCCCAAATGAAGGGCCCTGCGAAGTGTCACTCCAGCCTCAGTGTCTTCTGCAAGTCAGTTGAGAACCCTGTCGAGACTGTGTCCGAGCTCAGGTTCTGCCTTTGCACAATCCTGTCTTGTTCCTTCCACAGTGCCGCCCCCAGAGCACCCCAAAATGAAGCTCCAGTGTGGTCATTGCCATCTCAGAGTCACCCGGGAGCCCTGTCTGCACAGTTCATGCTGCAGCAGTACGAGAGGACAGATGCTGGGAGACAGTTTTGGAGCTGAATGACCTACCACCAATGACGGGGAGCTTACTCCAAGGTGAAGCAGAGAATGCCTGGTGGCAAGGGAGCTGAGCCATTGTTAACGTTCGGACCAGTGACCAAGTGCCTGGTGCCCTGGGGCAGGTGCCCTGTGACAGATGCTGAGAAACACGAACAGAGTGATAAGCAGATGGAGATGGACAGTGGAATCAGATAGCAGTTGCTAACTTCAGTGAAGGATTTGAAGAAGATAGCAGAGTGAACCTGATAAATAGTTAATGAGTCTGAAAGTCGAAGTCATCCAAGGACTGGTCCAAGCCGTGAATTACCACCTGAGGCAGCTTATTCCTGTGTGGTCTGCATTAGCACACTTGCTAAGAGCTGGAGAGCCAGGACAAGGGGTTTCCAGATCATGGAATGGAAAACCGCTCGCCGGAATCCCTTAAGGCTGAAAGATGATGAGGAAAACAGTCAGTGGAGCCTATTACCTTGGAGGGAGCCAGAAACCAAACCAGAAATTTTGATGCAGAGGGAAATTGTGATGATTTAA